AGGTTCCCCAAGCAGTATCCCTTATACCAGCAATGGGGAACCTTTTTTGGCTCACGTGCTATGGGGGGGGGACTCAGGGGGGTCGTGCACGGGGGTGCCACACCCATAATGCAACACGCGACCCCCCCAGTGCACATGAGAGGCAACCCCCCCCCCATTTTTTGCATGCTTTTTTCACCCTCCCCAGGCTCCAGAGGCTTTATAGGAGCCTGCAGAGGGCGAAAACAGCCTCTCCCCCCCACCAACCGCCGAAGGCCCTCCAGAGGCTTCAGGGACCTTCTGGAGCCTTCCCTGAAGCATCCGGAGGACTAAAAAGGACCCTCCGAGCAAACCGGAAGTGACTTCCGGGAAGCCTCCTGAAGGTCCCTGAAGGCTCCGGAGGGCTTAAACCGAACTTACGAGCAAACTGGAAGTCCGTTTCTGAACTTCCTATTTGCCCATAGGGCCGCTCTTTTCGCCCTCCCCAGACTCCTATAAAGCCTCTGGAGCCTGGGGAGGGCGAAAAATGGCTTTAAAGAAAGGCTGAACTCAACTGGCCAGCGCACGCATGTGCTCTGGCCAGCTGACAGGGCAACGCCTCGTGTGCCCTGACAAATGGCTCCGCGTGCCACCTGGTTCGCCATCCTGGCCTTATACTGTTTCAGAGAAATGGCTGACCTGTCTATTGACCCAAGTAAGTGACATCATCGGAGCTAGAAGGGAGTGAGGTTTACTCTCTGTTTACATCAGGGGTCCGGAGCTGCATGTGGCTCGTTCATCCCTCTGCTGCAGCTCCTTGTCGTCAGTCGGCACCACAATTTTGAGAGGAGCTTCTGGTTTGTGGGGGTGGGTGGGGGAAGCAGGGTGTACCACGAGGAGACTCTATGGCTAGGAGTGGGTTTTCCGGTCAGTTGATAGGGCTTTTGGTTAGGACAGGTAGAGAAAAAAGGACGCCGCGCTAGGAGGAGACTCTATGGTGGGGGAACCGGCTTCCAGTCGGCTCCAGAACTGAACGGGGGTCTCCAGTTAGGACCTTTGTGAGTGTTTAATGTTGCCGACCCCTGGTTTAGATACAAGTGGGTTGCCCTGTCAGTGTAGGCACGGTATATGCATTGATTTCTCCTCTGTAGTTCCTAGGACAGACCAAAATCCGCTAGAGAATTGTGTGAGACTCAGACACTCCAGCCATCAACTGGCACAGAGAGATAAACAGCAAGTACACACCATTGGAAAAGCTAACATGGAAGCCACAAGACCGAAAGGGGAATTCTGGGAGTCGGAAGTCCACCCCATGTTAAAGTAGCTGAGACTGGGAAACCCTGCCAGGGCAAGAACCTGCATTTCGGGGCCTTTGGAACCTCTGGTGGCAAGCGGTTCCACTGGTTCATCCTTCTCACTCTCAGGAAATTTCCCCCCTAGTTCTAGGATGGATTTCTCTTTGACAAACTTCCATCTGTTACTTCTTGTCCTGCCCTCAGGTGCTTTGGAAGATAGGTTGATCCCTGTGTGCACATGAGTGTGTGTGTGTGTGTGTGTGTGTGTGTGNCCAAGCAATGGGGAAAGCCAGGTTCACTTAACAACCGTGTCACTAACTGAACATGTTCAGTGTTTCACTTAACTGCCAAGAAAGATTGTAAAACGGACCAAAACCGGCCTAGCGACTATCTTGCTTAGCAGCAGTCATTCTGGGCTCCGTTGTGGTCGTAAGTCGAGGATCCCCTGTGCTAGTGACGGTTTTGATAGCTGCAAACCCAGAGAGTTCAGCAGGACCGCGTGATGCCAGAGTCCCGTGCCAAGGGTGTTTAAAAGTCAGCAAGAACACAGCACACACGTTATTTTCTACCTTTATCTGTTTATGCCTTGTAAGCCGCCCAGAGTGGCCTCCCTGGTGTGACGGGAGTGGCACCAGTGAGAAGCGTAAGCTGCAAAGGAACGAGAGAAGCGAGGTGGCGTGAAGTCACAAAGGAACATCTTTAATGTTTGACAGATCGCGTACAGGATACGGTTTTGGTCGGACTGTTGTTCTATTCACACATCACATTTCCAAACACTTCCGTCTGCAAAAGGTTGCAAACACGCTACTTTTCCAAAGGAGAATAGATAACACAATGATCAGGACTAGCTTTCACCACCCACCCGCCCACCCACCCAGCCCCACCCACCCAAAAAAAAGAGATTTTTCCACAATGTTCTAGAACCGGGCCACCAGTTCCTGGGGGGCGGAAAAGGAATTCCTTCCGGACACAATGCAAAACATGTTTTAGTTTTCAATTCAACAAGGTGGCGTCGCTACAAAAAGAACCAGAATTCGGCATCCTAAACGGTTTTAAAAAACTTGCCTCAAAAAAATAAAAATAAAGAGAGAGGTTAAAGACAGACAAAATGAATCAGGGGGGTAAAAAAAAAAAAGCCACCCCGATTTTAAAAAAGGGAATTATTAAAATGACTCCAGAAAGCAGCAGAGCTGTGTGGTCTTCGCCAGTCTTACATCCGGGTAGATTTTGTTTTTAAAAAAAGGGGGGGGGGGAAATTACACCATAAACAAGAACGAATTACAAATCTAGACTCCCTCCCCCCCACTTCCCCATAGCATTTTTGTTTCTGTTTTTTTTTAAAAAAAAGGGTGGGCTTTTTAAGCATTTCGGTCAATCCGGACATCGATTTCCCGGCCGCGGAGCTGAATGCCGTTCATCATCCGGCAGGCTCTCTCGGCCACGTCGGGGGACTCGAACCGGACCACTCCGCAGCCTTTGGACTTCCCGTTCTCCATTTTGATGTCCGCGTAGAGCACGTGCCCTGCAAGAGAAGCCGTTGGCCGTTGTGGGTCTCTCGGCTGTGCTGGTTCGCCCTTCCCCTTCTTTTTAAAACCCTCCCTTGGCCCGCAAGCTTTTCAAGTCCCTGGGGGGGCTCTCCCTGAGCTGGGCCGTTTCTCCTGCAGGCGTTTCGTGACCCGGTTACATAACGTCATCAGTGCTAGGAGGGAGTGTGATTTGTGGAGGGGAGGAGGAGGAGGAGGAAGACAAAAAGGAGGACGACTGTGGAGTCCTTGGAGCTCTCTCTGAGCTTGGGTGTTTTTTTTCATGCAGGCATTTCGTGAGCCTACTAAGTAACATCATCAGAGCTAGAAGGGTTTGTGGGGAGGAGGAGGAGGAGGAGAAAAAGGGAGAAGGAAGCGGAAGAGGAAAAAGGAAAAGGTGGTGTGGGGGGGGGGGGTCCTTGGTGGTCTATGAGCCTGGGTGTTTTACTTGCAGACTTTTTATTAACCAAATAAGAAACATCAGTCATACTAGAGGTGAGTTGGGTTTGGAGGGAGGAGGAAGGAAAGGAAGGTGGGCTGTGGGGTCCTTGGCGTTCTCTGAGCTTTCTTTGAGACATTTCATGACCCAATCATGCAATACGATCAGTGCTAGAAGGGAGTATGATTGGTGGAGACGAGAAGGAGGAAGGGGAAGAGAAAAAAGGAGGAGAAGGACTGGGGTGCTCTCTGAGCTTAGTGGAATTCTTGCAGGCGCTTCATGACCCAACTAGACAACACCATTATCCATGCTCGTCATTCCGAGAACAGAAATGGACAGGGAAGACAAAGCAGC